CCAATTTCTACTAATTTTAGTGTGAGACTTCAAAATTTTCAGTAGATGACATCTAAAATATACACAAAAGGCCTCCCTTGTGGAGGGGTTAAGTCTCAGCACTATAAGCTACTGGCAGCCACTGCAGCACAAGTTCCATCTCTGGCCAAGGAGCTAAACCATGTGGCGCCGCAGACCTCTCCTGTCTGGCTGGCTGCTCCCCTCAGCAGTGCATTTCAGTGGGTTCGCCTATCCTGCTCCCCACTCCGTCTCAGGTGAATTCTCTCTCATCCCTGCACCTCTGGCTTAGACCCCTGCTCTTCTATGCATAAATAAATAAAACAAATCTTTAAAAAGTAAATAAATATGCATAAAGGAAAAATTTCCATACTTGTTTTCCTTTCAAGTTGAATTTACTTAGGAATGAAAGGACGATTTTAGGGAATTCCTTCCTTTCTTTGCTTTTCACTGTGCTTCCAAAACCAGACTCACAACCAGATGTACCTATTCCCTAAGCTGAGGCACTTCAGGAAAAGGCAATCTGGAGTCCTTGAGAGAGGGTTTAGGTTTGGGACCCCAGCCCTGCCACTGATGGTTATGTGGGTACCTGTGTCCTCACTGTGAAAGGATAGCCTGGATCAAAGATTGTCGAGGTCATCTCAAGCTCTAAAACTCTAGTTCACTGGTCAACCATGAACAACAAACTAACCAACCAAACTACATTTTCTGTGACCAAATTCTTTTTTTTTTTAAAGATTTTATTTATTTTTATTTATTTATTCATACAAGCACTGGGTACAGTCAGAAGCGCGGGAGGGTGAGAGAATTCACCAGAGCCACAGCAGGGAGCAGAGCAGGCAGAAGGACCGAAGTACACTGCTGAGGGGAGCAGCGGGCAGCAGGAGAGGTCTGTGTGCCATGTGGGACCCTCCTCCGGTGGCCGGGGAGCAGCCAGGGATCGAACCGGCGCTGCAGAGGCTGTGGGCAGCTTCGCAACCTAGCGCTCAACCGCTGCGCCACCGGGGAGGCCCTGTGACCAAATTCTTAAAGCCCAGATGCCAGCTTATTGAAGAGTGGGAAGAATCAAATTGTTAAAGAGAAAGACTCACACAAAATAAATATCAGTGAGTAAGGAGCACCTTTGTACCACTGTCTAAACATGGCCTGAAAACAAAATATTAAATAGGGTTTAAAATTTCAATGTGTATATTTAGCACATGGACTTCCTATTCCTAAGGATGAAAGATATTTCTGCATAATTACAAAGTATAACCACATACCTTTTCTTCTAATATGTTAACAAAACCATAAAATTATATTTGTGAAATGTGAAAATGATTAAACAGTATAATCTGTATAACACATTTTTTCATACTTATTGAAATCATTTGCTTTTTTTAAGAATTTCTAACAAACATTTTGTTACAGGGCAGGGAGAAGGGCAGCCCAAACCCCGCAAACCTGCCTATTCTAAATGGGTTCTGCCATCCGCCGCATCAACACAAAACAGATGAGACTTTAATGGGAAGGAACTTTAATACAACTAGGAAACAAGACAGGAAAGGCAAAGAATCTAGTTTCTAAATCAAGCACCCAAAGTTACCCGTCCCCTCGTGGGTAAAACTCCATCCAAATGGGACTGGCCCAGAGCAAGGCCCCAAAGCCTGCCACAAGTCCAAAGCATCTTCCAGTGGGGACCCACAGAAAAGGGTCAGAAACAACCAGACAAGCCCGGAAGTGTTATAGGGCAGCCCCGATACTGAACGGGTTCCTGGCTATGGGTCCTCACCCGCGCGCTTACAAGGTACTTATTAATACTCCACTACAGGCACACACAAAAGGTTAATAAAAGGTTTATTTACAAGGGAAGAGGAAATAAGGAAAATGTACAACTTAGGGAGAAAATAGGGAAATAAAGTCTTTAATGCGTTCTACCTGATCTGCCGACCTGGAAACCCAAAAAACAGTCTCCAAGCTGGCCGACGCTGCGAGCAGGCGGAGAGCCAAAATGGGGGACCCCTCCAAAGCCCACGTGTCTGGCTTTATACCAAGCTGGCTGCTTAACCCCACCCTCAGGTCCCAGCCACCTTCTCTTGGGTGGTGATGGGATTTGGAGTTCCCAGTGTCTTTGGCTTTGGCCTGGGGTGGGGGTGGAGTCCACAAAGCCTGTATGGAATTAGCTTTAGGACATCCTTTTCTCCCTTACAATTCCCCCTTTTCACTTTTTGCCACCATTTCCATGGTGATGAAGATCGAATGTATGGATGTTGGGATGCAGTCTCACAAAGCCTGTATGTAATTAGCTTTAGGACATCCTTTTCCACCTTACAGAAGGAAAAGAGCAAAATCAAAATCAAGATAAAAGCTGCCATTGTCACCTCCCCTCGGGCCTCACCCACATCTGTGTCACCCAGTACACGACCAAAAGGCAAGCACAGTTTCTTCACGTCTCTCCCTTCCATGTGCCTCCTCCAGGTCTCCTTCTGGCTCCATCCTGCTTCCTTCCTTCTCAGTCTCCCCAGCAGCTTCTTTTCTCCCTGCTCAGCTCCACCCTCCATTTGGGTGGGGCAGGGAACCTGGAACCTCCCCCTTTCCTGGGGACCACCCTGTTACAATTTGAAGAGAGACTGAAAGAAAATGAACTGATTATAAGTGAATTTCATGGCACTTTAAGTCTGAGTTTGACACTTGGAGACCACATTGTCAAAAAAATTGATGATCATGAATTTATTTCTAGGGCGCCTAAAGGAGAATTCCCATGGAATACCTACTCAAAACAAGACCTACTCACATAAAATCCTAGCAGTCTGGGAAACAGCCACCTTTCAACTGTTGAGCCCTTAGGCGATTTTAAATGACCTCCTCTTCCCAGTGAAAACAGAGGACCTGGGAAGGGTAGGTTTCTATTAACCTACACTCATTTGCAAAGTACTTCACAGCCTCCTGGAAATTTGATATACAAGCTTCTTTGCTGCCTCTACAGTTAAACACTTGGCCCATTTTAAATGTAAAGTCTTCACTAATTTCCTTACTGGTAACCTGGGGAGGAATAAACCTGATTACTAAAAGGTCTGATCTAAGTGGCTGATTTCTAGTTCTAAACCGACGTTCTGGTCCTTTTCCCCATTCCCCTGCCTTCCTCATTCAGTAATGCTTAAGAGAAAGGTTCCCAACAATAGAAGTGAATGGCCCTCCCCGCCCTTCCCCCGTAGGCATTCCGTCAAAATCTACATTTCTGAGAGGCTGCCAGGGGAAGACTGATATTCAACTTTCTTTTCTAAGAGACTGGCAGGAATTTCAGAACCACAGAATAGAACGTAAAAATGCTGGTAAAAATCGGGAATAGCTTGCAAAACGTTGTAGAATTTTGGGCTATGGAATCTAACGAGTGTCCTCCAATTTTCTCTTTCTTTAAAAATTAAACTATTTTCTTACATCATTATTCATTTTTGTACAGTAATTGCTTTTTCCCCTCAGGTGTAGTCCCGGTAAACCTCCCATCACCACATCATTGTGAACCCTCACTACAGTCGTTTGCTCTTCCTTCCCTTGTTTTGATCACTCTCCCTCCCCTTGTTAGGGGGAAAAGGATGTCCTAAAGCTAATTTCATACAGGCTTTGTGGACTCCACCCCCACTCCAGACCTATGTACCAATTTTCTCTTGTATATGCTTTTAGGTAACTTTTGGATGCTCCCATGGAAATCTGTTTATACGTTCTCCAAAATGACAGGTTCTAGCTAAGTTCCAGAAAGATAAGGCATTATTTTAACCCAGTAGAAAAAGAAAAGGATATGATTCTACAGTTTGCGAAATAAAAGTTCAAGGATTAAATGTGCCGCTTGCTTTAATACTTCAGAATTGGACTTGTGGACTTTTGCTTAAAAACAAACAAAACCAACATACACACACACACGCACACACAAAAACAGAGCAACCGGTTCATAAAAATCACCGAGTTAATGTAGGTGTTGGATTCTGAGACGAGGAACTATGAGGTGCAAACCATTATTGTACGTCAGGTTTCCAGTTGTTTTATCTGCTCCTGAAGCCCTTGCTTGGTCTTTCTGAATGCTGGGCAAAGGTCGCTAGATAGAACGTAAATGATTTAAGACGTTCTCAAGTTCTGACAACCACCTACGATAAGTCTACACGAAGACTTAAAGACTAGACAGTCAAGTTAATCCATCCACCTCTTCCAAGCCAGCAGCCCTGGCACGCGTCCCACCCCCTCGGCGAGCTTACTAGGACAATCCAGACGCACTTCTACACACACACGCCGAAGAAACGAAGTTCTTCGTAAACTGCGGAAAGCTTAGCGGACTCGCTAAAGAAATCTGGGAACCGGAGTCGTGACTTCCAGGGCACCCCGCAGGCAGCCAAGTTGCCCGAGGACGGAGGGGCGCGAGCACACTTTATCTTTGATTGGCGGAACCGCTCAGAGTTTTCTTTATGGCGTCACCAGGTACCTGCCTGTAGAAAGGCTCCGTCGCCGTGACGTCACACCTCGCTGACCAATGAAAGGCCCGAGTCCGCGGGCCCCGAGGAGGGTTGTGGGCCCTTTTTTGTGAATGAAGCTCCACGAAAACAGCCCTCCTGGGGTCCCCAGGAGCCGCGGCCCGCCGTGTTCCCGCGCCTCGGCAGCAGCGGCCGCGGCCGCGGTGGGTGCGCGCGGCTACCCCGGGCAGCCCCGCCCGCCGGCGGCAGCACCGTCGCCTCGGCAGCCCAGCGGGTCGCGGACACCTGGGGACCGGCCGGGGGGCGCGGGCCGCGGCAGGCGGCGCTGTGGCCAGGTCCCTCGGCGGCCGCCTGAGGGAGCGGGGCAGGCGCGGTGGGTCGGGCCCCGCCTCCGGCTCCTGCGCGGCCGCCTCCTGCCGCGCTCGGCCGGCACCCGCGGTCCCCGCGGCGCCGCTCCGCGCCCCCCGCCCCGAGCGCCCACGCGCGGGGCCGGCGGGGGCCTGGGAGGGGGCGCTGGCGCGCGGGGCCATGGTCGTGGCCCCCTGACGGGCCGCGGCCGCCTCCATGAAGCGGAAGAGCGAGCGGCGGCAGAGCTGGGCCGCCGCGCCCCCCACCTCGCGGCGCGGCTCGTCGACCTCGCGGAGCGTGAAGAAGAGCCGCAGCTCTGCGTCGCAGGACCTGCGCGGTCTGGAGCAGGATGGCCTGTACCTGGACATCACCGGTGAGCCGGCGAGCGAGCTCGGGGAGGGGCCCCCGGGACGTGCGCCACCGCGGGGGGTCCCCGCCGCGCACCCCGTCGGTCGAGGCTCTCCCGGGCCCGGCTGACACGCCCCCCCGCCCCCAGCCCCGGCCGACCACACCCCCTCCAGGTGCCCGGCACCCTGGCAGCGCCCCCCACCCCACTTTCCATCTGGGTTTGTTTCGAGCTGTAACTTTATCGGTTTTGCACCCCCCTGCGCGAGCGAGCCGGGCCGAGGGTCACCTTTCTGAATTGCTGGCGTCAGGTCGGAGCCTCGGGCTTTTTCTAAGTTTGAATTGACGCCGCTTCCAGGGGTGGCGGGCTCGGTGGGCCCCCGCACGAGTCTGAACCTCTGAATCACCCCTGAGGATTCCCCGAGTGCGCCGAGCAAGCCGGCCCCGCGCTGCCTGGTTTGGCGTTGCCAGAGCTCGGCCGCTCGGTGGGAAATGGAGTCCCGCCTGGGGCGGCTTTCCCTGCCTGGCCCCGAAGCCCAGTCCTCGCCTTGAAGCTCTGGTCCCGAGTACAGTTGCCTCCCTCCCCAGTGCGCACACACGAGCACACTCCAGACCTCCTGGGGATAATCCCCTTCCAGCGTTTAAGGAAGGAATGTTGATGGCTTTGGGCAGACAGCGTGCTAATACCCGGAGTGGTCACGCTGGAGAAAATGCAGCCGGCCAGAACAGGTAGAAAAGCAGCCCTTTGCCAGCTGTTGTTTTTATTATTAGTGCCCAGCCTGCAATTCTTGAAGACTATCCGTTCAGCCTGGCAGTTGTTGGCTTTGCCAAGATTGACACTGAAACAGTGAAGGCGTTCAATATGATGCATGTGGCGACGCCTTAGGAGAGAATTTGCAGTTGTTTTCGTGGCGTGGAGCGTGTAAACCTCGGCGTGTGGGGGCTTATCATGTTTCTCGGCCTTAGCCTTTGTTATCCAGGTGAGCTGGAGTGGTCAGAATTAGAAAGTGTTCGAACAAACACAGAAATTTTGTCGAAATTTTCTAGCTTGATGGACATTCTGGAAGCTAAAACTGAGGTGTCTTGACACAAAGATGAGAGTAGGGAGAAGAGCCGAAGGGTTTCTCAGCGTGGGGTGAATGGCCTTCAGGAACGGAGGGGGTTGGAAGTGGCTGCCTGTCCTGGGGTGGCGTCTGCCAGGGTCCAGCCTTAACTCGTGACTCTCCAGGAGGTGAAGTTCGCTGGTCGAGGTAGAGACCAGTGCCACTACGGGGTGCACTCCAGGGAAGGTGACCCTGCCAAGGAGGGCTGGGGTGAAGGACCCACACTTTTCTTATGCCTTTTATTTATACCTTTTCAAGGGAATTCGGTCTAGTAACATTTAATTTTAAGGCAAGTAATGCACTTACGTGGTCAAAATTCTTAATTCTAAAGATACACTTGAGTGAAAAGTTGGTCCCAACCACCGGGTGTCTTTCCCCGGGGACAATTTAATTACCGAGTTTCTTGTTAATTCACACAGCTCTGTATTCTCTACCATAGCCAGGCACTGTAGTGCAGAGCTTGTTGTTTTGCAGTTTTTTCTTCACAGTATTAGAATGTTTGTTTGCATTAGTATATGCAGAGCTGCCTCATTTGATTTCTAATTATCACTTAGGTCAACGAAGAGAATGGCTTTAAAAATATAAAGTATGAATAAGCACATGTAGATTTGAATGTACATATGTTTGATAACCTATTTAGAGAGCTTCTTATTAATGAACATTTAGGTTGTCTCTACTCAAAAGAGGAGATTTTTGACTCAACGTCATTGTGATAAATTTCCCTCCTCCTTCATGGAGAGAAAAATGCACTGTGGCTGGCTTTTGTGAGGCAGTGAGAACTGAATTAAATTCAGAGAATGTGACCAAGCAGAATACTGAGAGAAGAGTTAGTGCATGATATAAAATCAAAATGCTGTTATTTAGATTATAAGCCCGGATAATGGAAGGCTCAACATCAATGTAAGCTGCCAAGGGGGGGGGGGAAATAAGGGAGTCCGCTTCTCCTGGGATTTCTTCAAGTGTCCCTTAGTGGTAATTTCAACTTTTTGGGAAAATGATACAAAATCAGTGTTTTGCTGTGATATACAGGACAGATTAAAGTAACTTTGGGTGCAAATTACTTTTTTTATTGGGTTTGTGGGGAAGGTCTGAGGCCTGGTCTCAGCAAATGGCAACCTGGTCCTATCCTATCAACTCATTTTGCCTCAGTCATTGTTTTCTTAATTTAAAAGCAGTGCATATACATTTTAAAGTTGAACATTACTGAAGGAGAAACATAAAGTTAGTCTCCCTCTCCTGGTAATATTTTCTTTCCCTTTAATTTTCTCTGCGTATTTAAGTTTCTTGAAATTGTGCCATACCAGAAGGAACAGTTCTTTTTATGACTGCATGGTATTTCATTGTACAGCTGAATGTTGATTTACTTAATGGTAATAAATGAATCACTGAGTTTTTCAGTCCCTCTTATAAATGGCTGCAGTAACATAAGTTACATACCTACCCACAGGTGTGACTGTATCTGTTGTGTAAACTAGAATTGAAAGTACAGGTAAAAGTATACATGGATTTATCCATTCATCAGTGGACTTTTGGGTGATTAAGAATAATGCTGTACAAGTTTCTGTTTGGACAGGTTTATCAATTCCTTTGGGTATACATCTAAGAGTAGAATTATTGGATCACGTGGTAACTCTTTAACATTTTGAGGATCTGCCATACTCTTCTAAAGCAGCTGTAACACCAGCACTCCCACCAGCAGTATACTAATTATTTCACATACTCACCAACACTTGTTACTGGATTGGGAAGATTCTTTTGCTATGGGGTTTGTTTTGTAAAAATTAATGCTTGCTGTCACTTCTGCCCACTCTACCCTTAAATCCTTAACGTTTTATTACTTTAGACCCTTGACATTTTTATTGTAAACTATTTTATCTGTCTGTTGAACATCTGTAGGTCCAAGATATTTCATGTGTACATTTAACATTGGAATGTGTAATGCCTATTTTTGTTCCTGTAGTTAAGTGGTTGCTGTTATTTAGAAGATAATCACCTTGCTACACTCATATTTATTTTGGTAGAACACATTAATGGGGGTTTTATTCCACTGAACCCCTTCAATCTCTAATTGTCATGTGCAACAACATGGAGTTTTGCCTGAGCTTTACTCCTCGTACAGTTCCAGTGCACTGTACAAAAGAAAGGTCAGACACATAGTGTAAACTGGACTGGTTTTCCCTTATCTAAAAGTGGAAGATCCCTATTTGGTATGATTTGGAAGGTTATTTTTGGGGTCTAGGAATGCTCAGATTTTTTTTCCTGTAATTTAATGGTAATAGCATTTCCAGACCCCAAAAATAACTTGCCAAGTAGCAAGTAGGAATGTTCCACTTTTACATTAATGCTAAAGAGATACTGAGTAATGATATGATTAGAATGAGTTGTTAGCCAGTAATGGAGCTAGAGGAACAGGGGAGACAAAAGAGGATTTTCAGTGGAATTGGAACTAGCTAATGCACAGTATGGGAGTAATACCAAAGAACAAAACGTTGGGTTTTTTATTTGCGTATGTACCCCCCTGAAACTAGAGGTCTAACCCTTTTTAATCTCTGTATTTCCATCCCTTAAATAGCACCCTCCATAAATAACAGTGCACATTTTTTCTTTCCTCCATATTAATACAGGAAAACATTTTTTAGACTAGAATACTACTGCAAAATCTCTGTGTTGGGTCATTTATAGCATTTAGCAGTTAGTACAGAATTTCAATTTATTTAATATCTTAAATTTCTGACTGGTAAAGAAAGTTGGCTGAAAACTATTCGATTCGTAATGGTTTGTCTTAAATACAATATTTTGGTGTTTGCTATGATGTTCTTTTAAAGAACATCGCTAATTTACTATTACTATGACAGTAAATAATTTTATTGTTGAAACTATAGTGAAGGTCAGGATTGTCATTCAAAACCCGTATTATAATGGTATATTGATACTCATCAAATAAAATTAAACATAAAACACTGCTCCCCTCACACTGGATGGCATTAGACAGAGAAAACTGTACATTAGTTCAAGAAGTATTTATTGAATGTTTACTATGTAAAATAGCCATGTTTATTCATTGTTGTAGTGATGGAAGTGTTACCTGGAGCACTGATTCAAGGAGGACATAAATTCATTTTTCTTCAAGAGTTTCATAGAGTAGATTATTGTTTCAGTAATTGCAGTTTATCAAACTATATAGTGTTCACTTTCTTGTCCATGACTTATTCTGTGTCTTTACTTTTAGATTTGTGCATGTGAGTTTATTTCCTTGGTTTATGTGCTTGCTTAATTCAGCAGCTTTACTTTTGATGATATCTTATTAGTTTACTGATTAAAGTCTAATTTCTTAGGTATTTTTGCACTGCACACAGACAGTGTTACTGCATCAATGGTCATAAAAAATGATTGTATGGAAAGATGAAGGGAAAATGGAATACTGAATTTAAAAGGTGGCATTCATGCCAGGAGTTACCAAGATTGCACACTGTGACTTCTTTGGGCCTTGGAATGAGAATGAATTTCTTCAGTTCCTGTTGTGTTAGGGAGAGCTGGAGTGAAATTTCTTGAGGCGTTTTAGGATCCTTGACATACCTTGGGAGTTGCTGAGATTGTCTCTGGGGATCTCTAAAGTGATGGATAAGTGCTTTATTTTTTTAAAGAATTTCAGGAAATCCCCTAGAATTTTCATGGTTGTCCATGCTGCCCTCTAAAGAATCCAAAATCAGAGATTTTTTTTTTAAAGATTTATTTTTATTTATGCATAAAAGAACTATGGAGTAGGCCAGAGGTATGGGGGGGGGGTGTGAGAGAGAGAAAGAGAAAGAGAAAAAGAGAGAGAGAGAGGGGGAATTCACCGAGACAGAGTGGGAAGCAGAACAGTTTCTAAAGAATCCAAAATCAGAGATAATTTTGGCCAAAGTGATGTAGTTTCCTTTTGGTC